TTCTTTTTTTTTTTTTTTTTTTTATAGAGAGATTTTTGCTATAGGGCACATGCGCTTTCCAGAGAAACAGAGAGAGAGAGACAGAATGTGAGATATCACCCCCCAGGGCAATGACCATGCTGCAATCCCTCCTCCTCCACTCTGCTCTAGGGATCTTGGGCATGCACACACTCATGAACACACACCTGGCGTGAATTTAAGCTGCCAGGTCCGGGACTTGAACTGAGATCGACCACGTGGGGGTATGGCAGTGTAGTCATTACACCATCTGCTGGTCCCTAATCATTTAGAAATTTAACACCATTCTCAGTTCATGGCTCATTTAAACAGTACCTGAGACTAGTCCCATGGCCTACTGATTAAGGGAGCTAGGTTTCCCATTGTTGACCATGGAGTTCGAATCCTGGCCTCGGTAGCTTGAAAAACATACTGGGTACCTGTGTGTGCATGAGCGTGTGTGCACATGTGCGTGTGTGCACTCCCGATCCTGACAGGATGGAGAAGTGGAGGAGGGGGACTGGTGTGACTATGTCCCCCTGGGGGGTGCTGTCTCCCTTCCTCTCTGTGTGGCAAGTGCATGCACCCTCTATAAAAATGAAAACTACATGACTATATAAGTCATCCGGTTGTAGTCTGCTGCTGCCTGGCTCATCTGAGGAGAGGGAGGGGGTGAGGGAGAAGGGAAGGCAGTTCTGAAGCGATGCAGACTCCCTCTGCCCTCTGCCCGCGCCGTGGGCTTGGCTATCTCACACCTTCCTAACTACGAGAGCCCACGCCACGCGAATGCCGCTGGCCCTGGATTAGATGAACAGCGTGCTTGGTTACTCTAGGTAGAGTCTTACAGAACAGAGGGAATCGGAGACCCCACGCTGACCCTTGACCTCATGCAATCCGATCAAAGGCCGCCACCCCCTGCAGACACCTTGGAGGGATGACAAAGAGCTTACCCGGGCAATGACACCAGAGATGAACACGGTCGGTTTGGGCGGACTGGAAAACAAGAAGGAAGAGGCAGATTGAACAGGACACTTCCCCAAAGGCGGAACAGTAGCAGGCAACAGGAACCCGGACGAGACTGGTTTTAGTAGAACAGCTGTGAGGAGGCAGCTCTGAGGACAGGGGAGCAGGGTGTAAACCTCTCCCTGAGTTATTTGGCCATGCGACCTGGTACGGGGCTCAGGAGCCTCCTCCTGAGGTTGGTTCAGGCACAGAGGGCGAGGAGGAGGCCGCAGCAAATGCAGGACAGTGTCTGGGAGAGCTTTCCTGTCACTGCTCAGACAGCAGCTGTGGGCAAGCCCAGTGGTTCTGGAAACAGGAGCTCTCGGAGCAGGGCGGAACTGCTTCCCCAGGATGAACTTGGAGACTTCCTGCCTATCGACCTGTGGTTCCTCAGGTCCACAGCTTCCAGCAACTTCTAATGAAGAACTCTTGGTCCCCATGGGTCCCCAAATATTATAAGGTCTTTGTGACGCTTTTGTCACGTCTTTCCATCTCAGCACGCTGAGCTCATCTGGTCTGCCACAGGGGGGAGGGGTGGGGCCCAGCGCCAGAGGGACACAGGCCCACGGTCGCAGAGCAGACAAGCCCCAAAGGTGTTCAGATCGCTGTGCTTTTAAACTGGCAGGTCACCACTGTTAAGGTGTGGTGTCCTTCCAGGCTGTCTTCTACAGATAGATGGACATACTTGTTTCCTTACAGAAAGTTGTCCCCGCTTTGTAATCTGCTTTCTGACCCACCGATGTGCTGTTTTCTGAATGGTTGCACGCACACAGTTTAGACACACTGGGACAGAGGGGGTGGTGCACCAGGCACGAGGGTGTTCAAAATACCCCCACCAAGAGGCAAGAAGGCACGGAGAAAGGAGGCGGGACAGAGGGGCCCTGTGGTGACTGTGCTGTGCTGCTGCAGGTCCGTCCTGCTGGGCAGAGGAAGCAGGACCTGCCCTTGAGCTCCCCACCCGCCATCAGCTGTCCTCTGCCGTGCTGCTGGGGGCCGCGGTGAGGATCACTGGTCTCAGCTTTGCTCTGCAGGCGCAAGTCCCAGTCCGTGGGCAGGTCACTGCCAGTTTGCATCACAAACAGTTTAGCAAAGACCCCGAAATCCCCCGAGGCCTTTCTGTTACTCTGTGAGACTAAGAGCCTTCGAGCCTTATGAGAGCACAGAAGTGACCACCCTGCCTTGGACTGTCTGGCCTGTGCTGTGGGCTGACTGGCTTGGGCTGCTGCCCTCCATCACGGTATGATTAGGCTGCAGGGTTAACAGCCAGAGATGAGCTAAGTTTGCTCAAGTGGAAGCCCCTGTCCAAACTATGTTTGGGTTCATTTGGATCCTTTTTTAAAATTTTGCTATAGGGTACGTGTGCTTACCAGAGAGAGAGAGAAAGAGAAAGCACCCCCTCCCTCCAGGGGTGATGGTCATGCTGCAATCCCTTTTCCTCTCAGGATTTTGGGCATGCATACACACACGGCTGGAGTGTTTTTCAAGTCACTGGGTCCAGGACTTGAACCATGCTGTCAGTCATGAGAGGTACAGCTGCTTCAACCACAGTGCCATGGTTGGTGCAGATTCATTTATAAAAGATTTTTATTTCCTTCTTTCATGGGTGTGCATGCAGGGGAGAGAAAGGAAGAGGCAGACAGCACCCCTGACAAGCTCCTAATGCCCCGATCCACCCCTGGCCTCAGCAGCCCGGGTCACGGGTGCACACGTACGTGCCTGTGTACTCAGGGAGGTCTCTAGACTCAAACTTGGGACCGCCATGAGGGATCCCCTTGCTGAGTGCCAAGTTTTACCAGCGCACACCACCCCGCCACTCATTTGGATGCTTCAAGCATGTCCTGCTAGAGCCACTTGACACCAGCTCAGGTGGGGCCACCAGGCTTGCTGCCAGCGGGTGTGGGGCTCGGGGCTTTGCACGGAGCCTGGGAGCTGCAGTCCACACTCCAGTGCTTTACCAGCACTCAGGAAGGGAACGGGGTAGCGGCGCTGAAGCCTCTGACAGCCGTTCCACATGTCTGCTTAAATGTCCAGGAGCAGCCTGAGAAGAGCTGGTTCCCCTCTGATAACAAGTCACACGTGTCGCCCCCACCCCTGAGGCGCAGTCACCCTCTGCACCAGGAGGCCCCGCGGTTTCAGTCACCTCCACTTTTGTCTGTGTTTCATCTAAGTCAAAGCTCTGAAAGGCTCTGACAGGAGATCTCCCCATCCGCATCCAAACCAGCCCTGAGAACTTGATAGGAGGGGCATCCAGAGAGTGAGTCTATGAGGAAATACACAGTAAAGGTGGCCTTCGCCCCGCCCACAGTGAGGCCTGGAGGTGGCTCAGGAAGCTGGGGTACATATCTATCTCTATCTAATCTCTATCTCTATCTATCTATATATCTGTATCTGCATGAGGGAACTTCAAAAGTTTGTGGAAAATGGAATTAAAACTACAAGTTCTTTGTAAAATCCACACATAGTTTTTTGCATAAAATGCATTTCCATGAACTTTTAGAAACCCTGTGTGTGTGTGTGTGTTTGTGTGTGTGTGAGAGAGAGAGAGAGAGAGAGAGAGAGAGAGAGAGATGGGGGTGTCCTTTCTGAAGGCACCCCTTTTTGTTTTTTGCGTCTTCACTTGTTCTGTTAGGCTGGAGTGGCTTGCTGGCGTCTGCTCGTGAAGGTGGAGCGTGTCCATGAAAACGTGCTGTGCTCGGAGCAGAGAAGCTACATTACTCAGATGAGAGACAGATGGAGGTGCGGTGAGGCCCGGAGTGCAGTGATGAGCTGGGTGCTGGCTTGCTGGGGAGCCAGGCCCGCGGTGGTGTCTGTGCAGAGCACTCTCCGCTCTGGGGGGCGTGATGTTTGCAACGTGGCCGAGCAGCTGGCCTGACTGAGCATCTGGCAGCCCATAGGAGGGGGTGATCTTGCCGCAGGGGCATCCCTAAGGGCTGATTCCGAACCAAGGAGTGTGACTCGGTAGTGAGTTGGGTCGGAGCAGCCCAGAAGCCCGCACATTCGGTCCATTCATCCTGGGGGCTGCTCCCACTCCGGACGTTCCCGCCCCTGCTGCCAGTGCCTGCGCCTGTTAGGTGCTGGAAAGGAGTAAGGCACGGAAGGGGACTGGGGACGAGCCCTGCCTATGTGGCGTGTTTGCAGGCACGGTTCCTGCTTGAAGGTTGCACTTATTTATTCATTTCTTCGTTTATTTTTAAACGCAATTCAAGAATTGTGCTGCGTGTGCAAAGCCTGATCTGGCCGAGAGCGGAGACTCGGGTGGGGACGAACACGCACACTGACGGAGGGTCTGCGTTAGCTCAGGTCCACTCTGGGAAATGTCCCGCTTAGCGATGAAGTCCGAGCTCCCCGCTCCCTTTTAAGTGATTTCAATCCCCGACTGGCTCAGCAATAAATTTTAAAAAAGTACCAATTTAGCCATTTCAAGTATGCAGTTCAGAGGCATTATACGCTCATAATGCGCAGATCCACCGCCACCGCCCCCTTCCAGAGCGTCTCATCATCCCCAGCAGGAACCCAGCGCTCCTAACACGCTCGCTCCGTCTCCTGTCACTCCCAGCCCCTGGCAACCGCCGTTTCACTCCTTTCTGTTTCTGTGAGCTTGGTCCCTCTCGGGGGCTCCTAGAAGCTTAATCACCCAGCGTTCCTCTCCGTGTCTGGCTTCTTCTACTCAGCACGATGCCTGCAAGGCCCTCGTCACTGCACCTGTCGGAGCTTCCTCTGTCCCTGAGGCTGACAACCCTCCCTCTGCAGGTGCTCAACCGTGTCCTTCCTCCTTCCTCCATCCGCCCACCCCGGGCACTGGGGTTGCTCTCAGTTTCTGGCTACTGTGATGGAGGTAGCTATGCTGGTGGCTCCTGCTTTCCTTTTTTCCTGTACACACTCAGCCATGGGACTGGGGTAATTCTGTTTCTCTTTTGGAAGAACTGAGGAACTATTTTCCACAGTGTCCACACGGTTTGGATTCTCACCAGCAATGCACGAGGTTCTTATTTCTCTATATCCTCAACGACACTTTTTTTTTTTTTTTAATAAAATTCATTCTAATGGGTATGGGGTGGCATCTTGTCATAGTTTAGATTAGAAACGAATTTTATGAATACAAGGAATAATATCAGTAGTGATCGTCAATCACTCAAGGTCTTTATGAACAAGAAGTCTCCCCCTCCCCAAACCTTCTTCCCCCCTAAAGCTGGAAGGGTCACACTGTGAAGACATATACAGGGGTGCGCGAGGGCGGCCACAGGCTGGCCCTCCCGTCCCAGCGAGCGGCACGATTGATGTTTATGCACCTCCTCCTCCGACTGCACACATGCTCGGCTGCGGGTTTTCCTCACGCCTGGCCCCCAGCTCAGTGCCATTCCCCCTACAATTAACAGCATCTGAGACAGGTAAACGGTCACTACTGTAGCTCCACAGCAAAACTTTCTCAGCTCTTTGAGACGTGGCAGCTTCAACAAAACTCCACGGATGAGAAACCCTGGTGGAGAGTCCGGGTGCAAAGCTGTGTTTGCAAAAACACACGTATTTTGCATTCCGTTAGGGTTCCATGCGAAGTCTAACCTACATTTCTGAGATTCTGTACACTGTGATAGCTGCTTTGAGGATTTATTTAATCTGATGAAAATCATTCTGACAGATGCTGTTTTGAAGATGCAACATTATTTTCTCTCAGGAAACAGAGACAGGGAAGACTATCCTCTCTGCCCTCCCCACATCCTCAGGCCTTTCTAGTGTTTACAACCACGCTTGGTACACTTCCCGACACCACCTTGTCACACCTGGCACTTGAGCAACCCCCCACGTTCATGCCTTCATGCAGGCAGGTCTTCCTCACTCACCTGCCGAAGGCTACATCTGAGGTTTTTTTTTTTTTTTTTTTTTTTTTTGGAGGTTTTTTTCAAAAGGGGCGGGGC